ATGAAATGAAAGAAAGAAAGAAAGAGAAAAAGAAAGAAAGAAAGAAAGAAAGAAAGAAAGAAAGAAAGAAAGAAAGAAAGAAAGAAAGAAAAAGAAAGAAAGAAAGAAAGAAAGAAAAAGAAAGAAAGAAAGTGGGGAGGGAGGGAAGCAGGCAGGCAAGCAGAAAATAGAAAAGCTATTCATCACACCCCCTCTGAGTTCTGGGGACCTGTGGGGGCTATAGCCACCAGACTTTCCAAAAATGCATTACTATTATGGTTTATATCTAGATGTCACCCCAATGCCTCATGTGCCCATAGGTGGGGAGCTTTCAAGGTGGCTGGATTAGGGTGTGTGAATATGGATTTAGAGAGTGAAACTGGGATTAAGGGGGTGGATAATGGAAGCCCCACCATGGTGAGAGTGGCACCAATCAAAAGGCTCCTGGCCTGGATGGAATAAAGAGGGACAGAAAGAAGGCAGGCTGCTGCTGTTGTTGCTGCTCACTGCCTTCTGCCTGCCACATGATGAGCTGTTTTTCCTCTGCGATGCCCCTCTGCCTTGGAGCCAGCCAACTGTGGACTGAACCCTCTACAAACTGTGAACCAGATGAACCTTTCCTCCTTTAAACTCGTGGATGCCAGGTATTTTGCCTTAGCAATGAGAAAAATAACCAAGACAATTAGTGTGTTTGTGATACGTAACAGTTAATTCTGTCTTGGTAGGTTGGCCTGTGTATCAACCAGCGCGCCCCCTTTCCTCTGGGACCCTTCCTTATCTCCAAAGAGCTCACCTCCCTGTTTCCCACCACCTTGCCTGTATTTTAGTCTTCATTGCTATTTGGGGTTCTCATACGAGAACCCATATATTTAATGTTTACTAACTGACTTTGAGACAGGGTCTTGCTAGGTCGCCCAGGCTATGGCCCACTCCTCTGCCTCCGGAGTAGCTGGGATGACAGGTGTGCACCTGTGCCTGGCCTCCTCTTTTTTATTTTGACACCTGGTAGACAGAGAAAATGATCTCCACATTGAATGTTTTTTCATGCTGGGCCCTCACCGTCTCCTCCGGGCCTTGCCTGCTTTGCCGCTTGTGCTTTAGGCTATTTGTCTTTTTCTTGCTGACTGCTTCAAGGTTTTAGGGTATTACTACTTTGCCTTTGTCACATACATGTGCTCCCAGTCTGCGGTCACAGGACTCGTCTATAACATTGCTCGTCGTATAAAGGGCTAGTTTTGCAGTTTTTATCAGTTTTATCAGTGATGTTTTGAGTTTGTGTTCACTTATAAGGCATCCTTAACTGATCGCTACACACATTTTCCTATGTTTTCTTCAAATTTCTTATATATGTTTAAACCTTCAATCGGATTTTTTTGGTAGGGGTTGTTGAGAGACAGGGTCTCACTATGGAGTTCAAGCTGGTCTTAAGCTCATTATGTAGCCCAGGCTGGCCTCAAACTTGAGCAATCCTTCTGTCTCAGCCTCCCAACTGGGATTATAGGTGTGCACCACTATGCCTGGCTTCAGCTGGATTTTTATGAACAAGGCACTTGGGAATTTTTTTCCCAAATAGTCAATAGGTCCTCTGGTATTTAGCTTGTCTTCTGCCTACTGATTTGAAAGACCCCCATTTACATTTTCATATACGCCTGGGGCTCCCTCTGAGCTCTCAGTTCTGCTGCATCCCTGCAGTGACCACGCTAATCAGTGACTGGCTGTAGCTGTCTACACGCCCCAGCATGGGAGGACTCGCCAACGCGGCTGAGATGGCCTCCTCTTCTTTTCAAGATGGTAAGGGTTAAAAAAGCAAAATAAAACAAAACAAAACCTTTGGTGGGACTTTATTTACACTGTTCTTTTTACAAAAATCAGTTATCTTGTACATTTTCCACCAGATGAATTTTAGAATCACCATATACATATTGCTTTGGGTTCTGTTCGACTGAGATGGTACTGCCTTAAATTTATAAATTAGCTCAGGCAAAGTGAAACTTTTAGGACACTAAGCGCTTCCGCTTTGTTTTGTTTTGTTTCAGACAAGGTCTCGCTATGTAGCTCTGGCTGGCCTTGAACTCACTATCTAGCCCATCCTGGCCTCAAACTAGCAACACTCATCCTGCCTCAGCCTCCCAAGTGCTGGGATTACAGGTGCGCAGACCATGCCCGGCACTAAGTGTGCTTATGCAGGGATCGGAATCGCTCTCTACTAGTTGGTTTCTGCTTACATTCTTCATTACCATTTTTACTGTTTTCTCTGTGTAGTTCTGGAATACTTGATGTTGAGGTTTATCCCTAGTTTTATGGTTTTTGTGGCAATTCTGAGTGGAATTGTTTTATGCAATATTTTTAATTGGGTTTGTTCTGAGGCATAGGAAACCAAGGTCTTAAAGCATCCTGACCAATGCATTTCAAAGCTTTTATTTGACAAATTATCCGACAGTAGAACGGACTGCTCCTGCCATACAGACCCACACATTTCCCACCGTGAGTGTGTGAGCACCGCCACGATCCACAGCAGAGCGCTCCGAGACCACCCGGCCCTCCTCTCGCTCCCTCTGCTGCACTGTGCCCAAGGCCACACCCGAGCCGAGGCCATCACTGCCTTGGTCCCCTCCACCAGGGCTGGGTGCTATTGAAAAGCCCACGTAGGTGAACCATACTGTTTCAGCCCTCCGAGGGCAGCATCACTCGCTCGGCACGTGCAGCTGGAAATCACGCCAGTTCTGCCGTGGACCCATACTCTCTCCTTCCGCTGCCCCGTCACAGCGCCGCATGGCGCTATCGCTTCTCGCCACCCCTCGGCTGAGAATCCCTGAGGTTGCTTCCGGTTCCTGACAGTCGTGAGTAAGGCACCTATGAACATTAGCGAACAACTGAACGGGTATCTGCACACTTATGCTCACAGCTGCATTAAGAAAAGTCAAAAGGTGGAAGCAACCCAAGGTCCACTGACGGACGGATATAACAGTAGCACAGAATACTACTCAGCTTTGAAAGGAAGGCGACTCTGACACACGACAACACACATGGACCTTGAAGACATCACAGAAGAAAAAAGAAGCCAATCACAAAGAGACAAGCACTGCACTGGAGGGTGATGCTTAGATGACACTCTCTGGAATGGAGGAATTCATAGAAATAAGCAGGAAAATGGGAGAGGAACAGAGAGCAGGCCAGTGTTTAGTGGGCAATGTGTTTCAGTTTGAGGATGAAACCCCCAGAGGTGGACAATGGCAGTGAAATGAGCAACCTGACCTGCACCCCAAAAGACGGCCTAGATGGTGAGCGCACGTGCACTTTACCATGGTCAAGATGAGACTCTCGCAGGGCCTGACACGAGCTTGTGTGAGCTTCAGTTCTCTCTTCTGTGGGGTGACAAGCAGGAGTCTGTGGCCCTGCTAGCTCACATGCAGTGTGAGGAAGTGACAGAGTTTGTGCCGGGTGGCAGCGCAGGTGCATCCCGGCTGAGCAGCACCGGGCCCTAGGTGCGGCCACTGTCCCTCGCTTCAGCTGTCCTGACGGTGGCTTCATCCCGAGTTTCACCTGCATTTCTCTGATGGCCAGTGGTGCTGAGCGCGTCTCCTCCTCGGCATTTTGCTGCCTGTGGGTCCTCTTGGGTGGATGCAGCACTGTCCACCTCCTTTGTCTGTTTGTCACTGCAGAGCTGGTTTTTCTCATTACTGAGCTTTGAAGAATCTTGTTCTAACCTAGACACAACTCCTCAAAGGGCCACGTGACCCTCCAGCACCTCCTCCGGCGTGCAGTTTGTCTTTTCATTCTCTTAGCAGCATTTTTGCCACAGCAAAAGTTTTAAATTTTGATCAGGTCCCATTTTTCAACTTTTGATTTTATAAATCATGTTCTTGCTGTCCTAAGAACTTTTTGCCTAACCCAGAAAGACTGACAGAATTACAATTTTTAAACCTACATCAGAGCTGTAATCCATTTAGAGAAAATGTGTATAAGATGTGAGGCCAAGCTGAGGCTTGCTGGCTTTTGTTTTGGACACATATGACATGCGCCTGGTCCCAACACATTTGCTCAGGATGAGCTGAACTATTTTTGCACCTCCATCAGCAGTCAAATGATGCATTTTCATCGCATCTATTTCTGTCTTTTTGAGACAGGGTCTCGCTAAGCAGTTCAGGCTGGCCTTGAGCTCACTTTGTAGCCCAGGCTGGCCTTGAACTCACAACGATCCTCCCGCCTCAGCCTCCTGTGTGCTGGGATTACAGGAGTGCACCACCACGCCCGGCCATCGCATGTATTTCTGGACTTTGTTTCACGCCCTCATGTATACGGCTTCCCTGCATTGGCACCATGTCTCAAGTACTGTAATGTCACAGTAACTTTTAAAAACAAGGTAGGTGCATTCCTCCAACTTTTTCTTTTCTAATACTGTTCTAGCCAGCCATGGTGGTACACAGCTATAATCCCAGCACTCAGGAGGCTGAGGCAGGAGGGTCATCACTAGTTTCAGGCCAGCCTGGGCTACATAGTGAGTTCAAGGCCAGCGACTACAAAATGAGACTCTGTTTCCAAGAAAAAAAGTTGTTCTAATTTTGTGTTCTGCATACAATTTAGAATTAGTTTGCTTGTTTGTACAGAAACATCCTGCAAGGACTTGGCTTGGGACTTAGTTAAGTCTATAGCCTATTTGAAGATACTGGTATCCTAACCACACTGGCTCTTCTAACCCAGGAACAGAGGATGGCCTGTGATTTATTCAGGTTTTTGATTGCTTACACCAGCATTTTATAGTTTTCAGCACAAAGGGTTTATACTTAATTTTCTTAGGTATAAGAAAGCTCTTATAAATAGTACTGCCTTTTAAAGTTTCTTTCATTCCTTCTTTCTTTCTGTCTGTCTGTCTATCTGCCTGTCTTTGTTTCCTTCTGAGACATGGTCTTGCTATGTAGTCCAGGTTGCCTTGAACTCACTCTAGAGTCCAGGCTGGCCTCACATTCATGGCAATCCTCCTGCCTCAGTCTCCTGAATGCTGGATTACAGCTGTGCACCACCACATCCAGTTCCTTTTAAGTTTCTAATTGTACATTACTGGTATAGAGGTAGGATTTGTATCTTGCCCTTGTACCCTACAACCTCACTAAAATCACTTAGTTGTAGAAGTTTGGGGAGGTTTTTGGAATTTCTCTGTTTAGACCATTTCCACTTATGCACAATCAGCTTTGTTTTTGTTTTTCTGAGACAGTCTTACATAGCTCAGGTGGCCTTGCACCCACTACGTGGCCCAGGTGGGACCGCAGGTGTGAGCCACTGCACACCCGTTCACTCCTCCCTCTGACACGTCTCTCCTCCACGATGCCTTTCATTCTCAGCCCTGCCGTTCAGGCTGGGCTGGAGCTTCCCTTTCAGGGCTGGGCAGGAGTACGACAGCGAGCATTCTTGCTCTACCCTCAGTCTTGGGGCAAGTACTGTGTCCTCACTGCTAACTAGGACGTGGGCTGTACGCTGTTCTGTGGATGCCCTGCCTCAGGTGAGGAGAGTGCCCGACCCTGCCCTTACCTGACTTTTAGCCGTCATTGGATGGTTACGGACTAGAGTCTGTCTGGTACTTTCCGGCATCAGTGGACATTCTCACCTGTGGATCCCACTCTGGACTTTTTTAAAGGGGAGGGGGCTGCAGGGAGGGGAGGGGACTGTGGAACAAAGAAGAATCAAGGTATTTTGTGCACCGGTGGACTTTTTAATGCTGAACCGGTCTTATATTGCAGGATACACTCCACTGGGGCACTAGATGTTTTCTTTTTATATACTGATGGGTTTTGTTAGCATTTCACTGATACGATGGGATGCTGCTCTGTGTTTTGTTTTATACTGTCTTTCTCTGTTCTAGCGTCAGAATAAATCAGTTCCTAGTGAGCTGGGCAGCACTCCCCCTCTCCTCTTTTCTGGAGAGACTGCAGACTCGCTGTTGCTTTCTCCTTCATGTGCTTGGTGGAATCCTCCCCAAGCCCATCTGAGTCTGGGCTGCGGTGTGGCTCAGGGGCAGAGCCCTTGCTTAGCAGAAGCACGGCCCTGGGTCTGATCCCCAGCAGCACACACACACACAAACAAGGCCATAGGGATCTAAAGATTTCTTTGGGAAGATTACCTAAAATATACATTGATACTGCAAAACGTTCTCTTTTAGTTGTTACAAGTAACAGCAACTTCACCCAGTGAGGTTTCCCCCGAGGAGCTGCACACCACTCCACAGTGGCACCCCCCCATCCTGTCTTGCCACTGGCTCCGGGCGGCATCTACCATGTCTGCCTCTGCTGGTCCTCTGAAAACCCAGGCGCCCACACCCCAGTGCTACCTATAAATGGCCTGCTTGTCCGCATCCATCGGGGTCTGAGACTCCACGGGGGGAGGGCTCACTCCTTCCGCATCTGGTTCAGAGCAAACTGGATCTTGCTCCGTTTTTAACTCTGTTACCACTTGCATCTATAAAAGGAGGAGAATTCCTGTCACTGAACATAAAAGAAATTACATTCTATTCCCAAACAGGAACACAATCAGACACTTAATGTGGCTGGCAACAGCGAAACTACAGTACCAACAAAACGCCTTTGAATTTAATATACTTTAAAAATGAGTACCAACTGCTTAAGAACTGAGATGACCAAAATGTGCGAAATGCTTATGATTTTAAAAATTGCAACTATACACCACCAAGGAAAACACTACATATGAAACCTTTTATGTCTTCTTGCTCTACAGCCTCACGTTTAGTAATTTAATGAGGGACAATAACAAAACAGGGGGACTTCGGTTCATGAACTTAACTTGTTCCACAATTCTGGAAGAAATGGCCATGTTTGTGCTTATGTGGCAGAAAGATGGCCACGGTTGTCTTTGTCACCCAATGCAGATTTCACAAATAGAAACAAAATTTTGCCAAACGCTCTGTTTGTGAATCAAATTGTTTGCAAACAAAAGCATTTGTGAATCGAAATACCACTGTACTCCAAACTCTTTTGTCTTCTAAAAACAACTCAAAATCAAATATGCCACATATTTGTGGGAGGGTTGAAATCTCCCATATCCAGGCAGGCATGGATGGGCATGCCTGTAATTCCAGCACTTGGAAGGCTGAGGCAGGAGGATCATTGTGAGTTCGAGACCAGCCTGGGCTACAAAGTGAGCTCAAGGCCAGCCTGAACTGCATAGCGAGACCCTGTCTCAAAGACAAAAAAAAAAAAAAAAAAAGCTGGGACAGGACCGAGGGCTGGGCTAGCCTGCTGACAGATGGCCAAGCCTCCGCCTCGATCTCACTCAACCCTCTGCAGAGCAGCAAGGAGCAAGAAGCCTCCGACTCCTACCGTAAGCAGGAGCACAGGGGGCAAGGCTGGCTGCCCCGTGCAGAACACATAGGGCAGGCAGCACTCAGCGCCTCCGCTAAGCTCCTTCTCCTAAACTTCCGCAGGTCACACAGCACACAACACCCACACACAGACACAACGCACTGCAGCAGGGGACTCCACTCACGGGGGGGGGGGGGGGGTCGAGGGGTCACCCACGTCACAGCGCAGCCATCCAAGTACACCTAAGGCAGGAAGATCAATACTAACTCTGCTGGGTGGGTTACTGGGACAGTGCCTCATACACTTATTCCTGGGCAGGTGAAACCTCAGAACTCCCATGTAAAAGTTGGTCAGCTTAGCTCTCAGTTTTGTGACACAAACATGAGAATCTATGATTATCAAAATTAGCTTGGACACTCTGGGAGGCTGAGGCACGAGGAGTACAAGTTCAAGTCTCGACTGGGCAATTTGGAGAACACTGTCTTAATTTTTTTTTTTTTTTAAAAAGTGCTGGGGAGCCAGGCATGGTGGCGCATGCCTGTAATCCCAGCACTCGGGAGACTGAGGCAGGAGGATCTTTGCAAGTTCGAGACCAGCCTAGGCTACAAAGTGAGTTCAAGTCCGGCCTGAACTGCATAGCAAGACCCTATTTCAAAAAGACGACAGACAGATAGATAGATAGATGATAAATAGATAGGCAGAGAGATAGATAGAGAGATAAAAAGCAAGCAAGCGCTAGGGAGGCAGCACAGTGTGAAAGCACCACGTTCAATTGTAGCACCACAAGCAAATCTACCGTGTTTAAGGAACGAGCTCAATGGTAGAGTGGGGCCCAGAACACACCAAGCCCTGGGTTCCTCCCAACACCAGAAAACAAAGGGAGGGAGGACAGGGTGGAGAGCTCAAGAGCACAGATTGTCTTTTCTTTTAAAATACTAATCCTGGGGGCTGGGGATTTAGCTCAACGGCAAAAGCGCCTGCCTGGCAAGCGCAAGGTCGTGAGTTCGGTTCCTGGTACCAGAGAAAAACCAAAAAAAATAAAATAAAATAAAATAAAATAAAATAAAATACTAATTCTGCTGGGGAGATAGCTCAGTGGCACAGTGCCCGCCTGGCAAGCACGAGGTCCTAAGTTTGATTCCCACTACAAAAACAAAACAAAGTATAAAATACTAATCCAGGGCCTTCTATATGCTAGGAAAGAATCCAGCTTTTCTTCAAAAGCCACAATGCTAATTAACACTGACTTTAAAAAGGTAAGTTGCGGGGGAGGGGTGCTAAAATTACTAGCAAGCTTGGTACTACTGAAGAACTAGTCTGAGCAATTCTATAGCTTATCTTTCTGCATGCCAACATACAGCAAAGCATAACATACTGACGATTAAACGTGCAACCTCACAGAGATTGAACGATGGATACACAGAGCACTGTCCACCTTTCAGCGCCACGCCCGCGGGCGGCAACTAGCATGCAGAGTAAAGGCAGGCGCTCACTTGCTGCCCATCTTGATAGCTGTCTATACTCAGTGTCTGTGTGGCCATCATGGTTAGCAAGCGTCTGACTCAGGACATCAGATCATCTCGAGTGCGATGCAGGCGGTGTCTGGAAAAGAAGAGGCGAGAGCAGCAGTTAGCGGCGTCGGCTCCCTCTCCTTACGCCCCAGGACCCAGGCAGTGTTTCTGAGGCACACATCTCACACAGGGAGGACAGGCTGCCCTTCAACCCTCTCGCACAGCCACTCCCTCAGCTTCTGCCGAGCGCTCACTCAGCTCACTGTGCTGGTCCTCACGCAGACACCAGCGTGTCTCCCACAAGCCAGACATAGGCGCAAGGGACAGTGACGGGGAGGCCCCAGGCTGCATGGCCAGGACAGCCTCTTGGGAAGAGCAGTGTAAGCAAGACCTGGTGGCACCGTGAGATGGAGAGACGGTGCCCCACAAGCAGGCATGGGCAGAAAGCGGTGAGTGAGGAGCCGAAGATGGCACTACTGCAGAGCACGTGCAGGACACAGAACGCAAACAATGGCCTTTTGCTTAATGATGACATACAACCTCAGAGTAACGCCGAGCACCGGCATGATGGGTCAGGGACCAGGACAGGCATCTGCGACATGGCTGCAGACAGGCATTTCAGAGCGGGGTACCGCATGCGGGCTGAACCCCAACTGGCAAAGCAGCAATGTCACGGTGCGTGTCACATGGACTCAGTGGTCCAGGCTCACTGAGGAGGCCACAGCAAGGGCAAGGGCCATCTTACCAGGTGCCCTGCACTAGTAGGACCACCAAAGGTCACAGGGGAAGTGCCGTGATGCTTTAGGAGACTCTAAAGCAAATGTGGAATTAGCCGCATGTCTTTCTGGGGACAGTTCAAGGGGACAATGTCCCAGCCACCAGCAGCAGCGACAGCTGCAGAGACCTCCTGAGCACTCGAGACACAGGTTTTCTCTTGTGACACCCACTTCCCAGCTGAGGAGCTGGAGGGTGTGGCCAAGGCCTCAGCGCTAGCAGGAAATGGGAGTAATAGACTCCTTCCCACCTCCCTCTTGTAAGGTGGGCCTTGTTCCACGCATTGAAGCACAGCCACAAGCAAGTTGACGAGGACAGAGCCAGGGGACGCAGACTTCCCACCTGAGCACCTGGCGGAGCGGAGCCGAAGGTCCAGACAGGAGCAGACGGTGAGCAGCCGCGCCCGTGACCTGGGGAAACAAGGTGAGAGAGTTCAGGTTGAGGAGATAATTCAGGCTGAGCGACTGGCAGACACTCCCCAGGGGTGGGCCGAGGCACACTTGTCAGCCTCTGGTCCCGTCAGGACGTGAGGGAGGGGAACTGGGCCTCCCAACTCCCAGGACCCACGCACAGCGGCTTACAGGGGCTGTGAGGCTAAGGGACGAGAGACCCCAGGTTTAGCACCCATAGCTGCACGAGGAGAGAGGCGGCTCTGAGACCCTGGCGGGGGGCGGGTGAAGAGGGAATGAGGGGAGCTGGGACTCCTGAGCCGCCAGCAGGAAGCAGCAAAGGAGGACCCTCCCCGGAGCCTCTGAGGGAGCGCAGCCCTGTCCACACCTAATGTGACTTCTGACCCCTAAACTATGGGACAGTAGGCTTCTAGGTTTAAATCTTCTTCACCCAGCGCTGGGGATGGACTCCAGGGCTGCACATACGAGGCAGGTGCTGCACTGTCTAATCCACCCAGCCTGCGGCAAGCCGGCACACAGCCCTCACTGTGAGTACCTTGTGTGAGGCCACACGTCCGGAGGAGACCCTGGAGGGCCAGCAGGAGGCTGCACCCACAGGCGGGACAACAGCACAAGGCGAGCAGCGGCCACAGCGACAAGGGCAGATCCAAGGGCACCCCGGAAGCCACGAGGAGCAGGGGCCACTCGGGCTCACCGGCCGCACGAAGGACGGCAGCAGACCACATGTGTGGATAGGAACGGGCCGGAAGTCTCCGAGGGCTGCGAACCACCGGCAAAGCTGTGCTTCCGTCTAGCTGGGAATCCCTTCTCGAGACCAAGCCCCCACCCGTCTGCACACCTGGCCCTGTGCCTCCCAGGGCTGTGCCTTGACCTGAGCCTGGCTCTCCTCCACACCGCAGCTTGCGCCCCTGCTGGCCTCCCCGCTGCCTCCTTCCAGCGCAGGTCAGCACTGTCCCAGACCGATTGCAGGCTCCCCCCTGGTCGCAGGAGCCCAGCCGGCCTTGCTACAGTCCACTCTCCCTGCTCTCTAACCACATCTGTCCGTGCGACTCAGCTCTCCACATCTCTCCCCGACCCATGCCAGGCATCACTGACCCCTGCTGCTCTCCACCCCCCGCCCGGCAGGAACGATAAACTGCCGCTGCCCCTGCGTCCCTGTCCTCTGCTCCGCCCTGGGTCCTGTCCAGCCTTGAAGCTCCGCTGAGACCTCTCCTGCTCTGTGCGCACGGCTAGCTGTGAACACGCGCCACCTGACGCTGCCTCTCCCTCCGCACGAAGTCTTCCTCCACCACCTCAGGCCTTCACACAAGCCCCTCTGCGGCCCGGCTCCTTACTGCATCATCCACTATATGGCCCGTGAGGCCCGGGGCCGCTCCCTGGCAACCCTGGCAGCAGGCACAGTCTTGGATGTGCAGGAGACACGAAGTAAAATATGCATCTATGACAGAATAAGTTATAAACTTAACCTGAACGAATTACAACCTTGACATTTCCAGAACCGTGATTAGTGATAGCTCTACCTCCCTCTGCACACAGATCGCCTTGCCCATTCGCAGCACACTTTAATCCTGTCCTATTCACATGGTTGCCAGGACCCGAGACTGCGGAAGCCAGGCTCTCCGCCTGCACCTCCGTGTCCACCTCCCCGACCCGGAGAGAGGCTTCGCTGGCTCACGACCGGCTGGCAGAGTGCCTGAAGCGGTCAAAGAGGCTGCGCCGGGGTGACCCTGGAGCCCCTCAACCACTTCAGAAAGAGGAACAAGAGGCAAAGCCACGCCACTTTCTTCCGTCCGGCGGCTTTCCTGTGGGCGAAACAGCACCGACAACCACGACTGCAGGCCAGCTTGTCTCAGCTGTTTTAAAGAACTCGCTGCAGTCAGCTGGCTCCAGGGCACAAGGGCACGGTGGGAGGGTCTGCCGTGGGAAGTGCTCAGCTCGGGGCACCCAGGAAGCACAGAGGGGTGGGCAGGGACAGGGCCCCTTCCAGGCGGCCCCCCAGGAACCGCCTCTTCTGACCAAACCCCACCTCCCACCGGCACGTCAGCGCCAGCCCTTCAGCAGATGACTGCACTGATGGGTGGGGTGCCCCACCAGCCCTGCAGCCACCTTCCAAAAGGCCCAGCTCCGGACACGAGGCTTCTGGGGGACATTCTCGCCTAACTCATAAAGCTCGGGGCACCCCTACCCACAGGCAGACGCGGAGGGCAGCTCCTGGCCTCACAGCGTCCTGTTCTTGGCTGGGGTCACCGCGTCCATGCAGCCATCCACGCGTGCCGCTTTGCTTACTCCTGCATGTGCCGCCACACTGCGGGCTCAGCCGCGCCTCGCAGAGATGGCGAGACAGGCTAGGTGGCAATGGTGAAGCTGGCACACAACCGCAATAAGAAGGTTTCCAGCCACTGCCCAAAGGGAAGTAAAATCTCTGAAAGTCTCAGACTGTTTAAGATGGAAAAGTGTTCTGCAAGCTGGGTGTAGTGGTGCCCATGTGCAACCCCAGGATTGGGGAGGCTGAGGCAGGAGGATCGCCTTGAGTTCAAGGCCAGCCTGGGCTATACAGTGAGCCCAGGTCAGCCTGAACTACACAGCAAGATCCTGTCTCAAAAAAAAAAAAAAAAAGAAAAAAGAAAAGAAAGAAAAAGAAAGAAAGAAAGGTGAAGGGATGCTTGTGGGTAACTAGTATGTGATCAAAATCAACTGCTGACATCATAGAGAACCTCTGTAATGCCAACACTCTGTGAGGCTGGGAAAGGAGGACTGCAAGTTTGGCCTCAGCCTGACCAACTTAGCAAGCAAGGTTTGGTATCAAAATAAAAGATAAAAAAGAGGCTAGGGATGCAACTCAGTGCAAAGGCATCAGTTCAATCCCCAGGACCCCTTTTTCTCTTTCTCTTTCTTTCTCTTTCTCTTTCTTTTTCTCTTTCTCTCTCTGTCTGTCTCTCTGTCTCTCTGTCTCTGTCTCTGTCTCTCTGTCTCTCTCTCTCTCACACACACACAATGTTAGCCATAGAAGGATGCACCTATAGTCCCAACTAATCAAGAAGCTGAGGCAGGAGGTTTGCCTGAGCCTAAGAGTTCAAAGTCAAGTTGGGCAGTATCTAAGAAAAAAAAAAAAAACAGAAAAAGCAAAAGAAAAAAATGCCATGAAAGTCAATTTAAGAAAATTGTGGAGACGTGGAAATACAGTTACTATCAGAGACAGCTGCTCTGATGGTGTGACAATGCTGTAGGTTTACGGTGGGTCTTCATGTGGTGCAGCGTATGCCGCGAGGCTCAGGTGTGGGTCATCACACCCGTACCTGACTGCACGCGGGTCAGCAAGAGCACACCCATGACTAAGGCAGTCTGGGTGCACACCAACGTGTTAGACCTGGACGGCAGCAATCACAGTCCTGCTCTCTCAACTGGTTCCAAATGTCCATAATAAATACTGGGGGGATCAGAATTTTACTTCAAAAACTTAAAGACCTGTAGTTCCTCTCTCTTTCAAAACTGATTACATCCAATATATATTGTTTCAACCATTCTAGACGAGATTGGGGGTGTTCAGGATGGTATGGCCATAGACGGTTCAACCATTCTAAAAGACAAATTTGCACGGGGCATCAGAAGCTTTGAAGATACACTGCACTGATGAGTGGGGTGCCCCACCAGCCCTGCATCAGAACACCATGCAAGGAATTAAAAAGCGGGAGCGCAACTCTTTCTGCCCAACATACTGTTGAGTAAATACAGGGCAGCGGCGTCCCAAGGTGACCAGCACTCCGACTGGACACCAGGGAAGCCGGAGAAGAGCTGCCAGCAGATGGTGCCACACTCTCAAAATGCCCCGCCCAAGCACAAGCGCTACTGGCTTCCTCCGCGTCTGTAGGGTTCCTGACTGAATTCTGCTCGCAGCAAACGGATCCACCACCTTGCAGTAGTACAACCACTGCTTCCTCCAGCCGGGCAGGCACAGTTCCGAGCGCAAGGTGCAAAGCTCCGCATGGCCCAGGGCCTCTGTCCATCGGACAGGACAGGGCAGGCCCCAGAAAGCACCTGAGTGAGGAAGCGAAACCCGTCATTTACTTGGAGAGAACTAAGGGGGTCTGGCCCACAACAAGTGGTTGGCAGGCTCATCTTTACCAAACATTGTTCTTTTGTGCATTACATAATACCCCGAGGCTGACCTGAGAATAAGAGGCAACTGGGGCTGGGGATGTAGCTCTGTGGCACAGCATTTACCTAGCATGTGCAAAGCCTGGGTTCTACCCCGGGACCATCAAAAGAAAAAAAAAGGGGGTGGGGAGGGAGGGAACTTTCTGGCCCTTGCTGGTTATAAAATGAAGCTTAAGTGTCAGTGACTTATTAATGTTCTTGTCCTTTTTTCCTATCAAAAGATGATGGTTTATCAAACAACAAAACCTATCTCCAGTCAGGGAGATACGCTTAATCCCAGCATGGCGGTCTCAACATCCCTCCTCCCCCTGAAACAATTCTAAGAAGATGAGCTCCTCAACCCCTCTGTATCCCTTGGGAAGGGAGCAAAATCTCAAGGGGGAAGAAGGTAGCATGGGAGCAATAAAGGGAGGTGGAGACAAGCAAAATCAGAACTAAAAAAAATTATACTTTTAAGCAGACTGCAACTCCAGAACACAGTCAGATTTACCTAAGATGTCTGCGCTACCTTTTTCCTGGGCCCATTACAGTATACTCCAAATCCCTTAGATACTGTGCTTTTAATCCATAAATTAGCTCACTGAGAAAGTAAAAGGAAGAGCGTGATCTTAAGAAAAAGAAACAGATGAAGAGTTCGAAGAATGTTTTTAGGCGGAACATCTTAGGTCGCCCGTCCCCCCATCTGGTAGGGCTCGTGCCCCTCACCTGTCAAAGGGGCCACTGTCTTCTGTGGGTGGGCCATGCGTTTTCCCGAAATCAAGACCGAGAGGGACCTTCCTACAATTCAGAAATTCCACAGATTGCCAATGCAAAAACACAGAACTACTCCCACATCCAAATTGGCCTATGTCTCTCTTGAGGGCCCATACTCTATGTAAATAAGTACTTTCAATTGTCTGCCTAACAAATCTTTTTATGCCACCTTAAAAGTAAAAAAGAGAGAGAGACACACACACAATCAATCAATGTCTATCCCCCCCACCACACACAGGCAGTTTCTCTAATCTTCAAACAGTAGTGTTTTCATGTCTGGATGTCACGCGTCACAAGGATGTCATGAGTCATAGGGGCTTTAGCTCCCAGTGGAAGACTCACCCCACTTAAAGCTCTATACTAAGGGCTACACACACTGTTATGGTCTGTGTCTGGATGTCTCCCCAAAGCCTCATGCAGTCACGGGGCAGGTTCTAGAGTTTGTGACTGACTCATGGTCCAATGCTGGGATTATGAATGTGAGTGCTACACCCACCCTGGGCAGCTGGCCTGCATACAATATAAGGGAGGGAAAGAGGCTTGCTCTCTCTGCTGCTGCTCCTCCCTTTTGCTCTTGCTACTTTTGCTGTTTTCCACCACCATGAACTGTTGCCTTCTGCCATGTGCCACTCTGCCTTGGAGCCAGCTGATTAGGGACTGAAACCTCCACAAACTGTGAGCTAATAAACCTTTCCTTCCTTAATTTTGGTTGTTGGGTATTTTGTCTCAGCAACGAGAGAAAAGTAACAATGACACATGCTTTCTGTTTCATCCATTTACTTAAGTTCTTTGTCACTTGAGGACCCTTCCCAAAGTTACCTGCAGGCCAAAAATAATAAGGAAATACAACTGTCCAACTTTCACAAACAGAAGAATAAAAACTCACTAGTAACTAAAGAAATACAAACGTCAATATATCCTTTTTTAATTACAATTTTTTTACATTTTTAAAGAATTTTTGCTCACATGCTCGTGCTACAGTGCTCACAGTCCCTGCGGGGCGCTGGTGCAGGTACCTTTCTCACTGTGGCCACTAAGCACGACGTGTGGACGGAGCTGGATTAAGCAACACCCACACGGACTAGGGCACGCTTGCGTGTCTGCTGCAGGGATGAGTGGGTACAGGCCAGCAAGCTCAGGGGGAGGCCCACCCTGGTGGCGTGGCACCCAGAAGGTGAGAAGAAGGAAGGTTGTATGTTCCCAAAAGTGCACCTGGCCCAGGTGGGTGCATCTCCGGCTGCCACTGCCTATGAGCGTTGGTCTCCGGTTTCTTCAGCTTCAACATGGTCCCACACCACCGACTCCCCAAGCAGCTTCCAGGCCTTCGACCTTGGGCTAGTGCTGCGTCCCTGATCCCTCTCGGTTTTCAGCTTCTGTCGTGGGCTGAGCAGCTCCCAGAGCCTCCGTCTCCCCAGCCGCAGATGGCCCTGTGGGCGCTCCTGCCTCCTAACCTGTGAGCCGCATAACCTGACTGTGTTCCTCTAGAGAATGCTAACCAATACAACCTGCTACCGAGAGTGATTCTGGAGAAACAAAACTGTAAGGATGGGTTTCTCTAGTCAGTTTAGTAGTTTCTGGAGGTGGCTCTCTAATTTGAGGAGACCTGAAGTTGCCATGGTCTCTCCTGGGAGCTCAGAGTACTGACAGTCCGTGGGTGCCCTGTTTAAATACTGTAAAACACAACATAGATCCACTTGATTATCCTAATTCACCACTTGTGAGATAAAAGATGCAAAAGTACATAATACTTTTGAACCTTTTTTTTTTTTGTCTTTTTGAGACAGGGCCTTGCTATGCAGTTCAGGCTGGCCCTCAACTCACGTTGTGGTCCAGGCTGGCCTCCAACTTGAGCAATCCTCCTGCCTCAGCCTCCGAGTACAGGGATTACAGGTGTGTGCCACCACGCCCGGCTGAACTTCTAGATTCTGATGAGATTATTTTGCCAGAGGAAGAGATTTCTGCACCCTCAGTGGCAGAGACATCCCCAGCCCTATGCACCATGGCTCTGGCCTGTCCTATACCTGAGGAGACAACTCAGTTGTCCATGGAAGGAGTAAGGAGTGTCCTGACACAGCTACCAAGCAAGGCAGTGCCAGTGCTCCTCAAAACCCACCCTGACACCCACTTCCGGTGCTAGGCCAATGACGCACACCTTGTAGAGCTTTCAAAGACACAACCAAGGTGCTGCGGCATGCGAGCCATAGGCTCACCGCCACTGGTCTAGGCCTTTACCCAGGCTTAAGTCTCAGCAGACTCCTAGGTGAGGAAAGCAGTGACCCACGAGGAGGTACGCTACACTCCCATTTTTTCTACATAGCACTTCTGTGATATATATATCACATTTTTTCTATACAGCACTTTCTATATATACTTCTTCAAACTTAGGCTTTTTCTTGGGGCCTAATATATAGTTAATTTTGTTGAGTGTTTCATTTGGTGGAAAAGAATCTATACTTTATGTTTACTGGGTACAAATTTCTACCTGTTATCAATTAGCTCTAACATACTAGCCATATCTTAACTCCTCTGTATCAAAAGTTCTCAGCTGGACATGATTC